TGAGCTGGTTTTGAACTGCAGTCTTCCCAGTCTCTGCTTCCTGAATAGCGAGGGTCACAGATGTGAGCCATTGGTTCCAGGCCATTTCTCCCTTTTTAAATAAAGAGTTCATGCAATATCTCCCCTAGTTTGGTGTGGAAGAGATCACCGAACAGTTAATAAAGTTTATCTTTGCCTTTTATGGGATAATTAATCCATGATTCCAAAGATGCTATGTGTGAATCTATGTCAGACTTCAAATAGGTAGGTTTGCTTAGGTAGCTGATGAAGAGAACACCACATGGTATTCAGGCAGGAAGAGAAGTTTTATTTCCAAACTGCTGCCCTGCCACACATGGTGGAGATGAACATGGCCGAAATGGGATGAACCCCCAGGCCATGTCTTATCTAGACCAGGGGCAGGGAGAAGGTGTGGCCAAGGTGAGGGAAGGTATGGCCAGCTGGCTGTGGATGTGGCCTTAGAGCCTGGGACCCTCCCATGGTCCGATGGGAGGCATGACCAGGGGTAGTCCAGGATGTGACCTCAGAGGAGGGGGGAGGGGACTGCTTCCAGGTGTGCCAGTTACCTAGGTGACACAGGTACTGGGTGGAGACTTAACCAAGAGGAGGGGGGAGGTCATCTGCATAGGGCCTGTACTTCCAGGGTGGACTTTACAGAAAGAAAGAAGAAAAGAAGGAAAGAAAGAAAGAAGAGAGATAGAGGGAAGGAAGGAAGAAGGGAAGGAGGGAAGGAGGGAGGGAGATGGAAGGAAGGAAGGAAGGAGAGGGAGAGAGAGAAAGGAAAGAAAGAAAGAAGGAAAGAAAGAAAGAGAGAGAGAAGGAAGGAGGGAGGGAGGGAGAGAGGGAAGGAAGGAAGGAAGGAAGGAAGGAAGAAGGGAAGGAGGGAGATGGAAGGAAGGAAGGAGAGGGAGAGAGAGAAAGGAAAGAAAGAAAGAAAGAGAGAGAGAGGGAGGGAGGGAGGGAAGGAAGGAAGGAAGGAAGGAAGGAAGAAGGGAAGGAGGGAGGGAGGGAGGAAGGAGGGAAGGAGGGAGGGAGGGAGGGAGATGGAAGGAGGAAGGAAGGAGAGGGAGAGAGAGAGAAAGGACAGAAAGAAAGAAAGAAAGAAAGAAAGAAAGAAAGAAAGAAAGAAAGAAAGAAAGAAAGAAAGAAAGAAAGAAAGAAAGAAAGAAAGAGACAGAAAGAAAGACAGAAAGAAAGAAAGAAAGAGAGAGGGAAGGAGGGAGAGAGGGAGGAAATATTATAACAATAGGCTGTACTAACTAAAGCATTAACACCAAGTCACTCCATTGAGCAATGGCAGCCGCATTTGAGCATCTTGAGCAGGGCTCATGGGGTGGAAGAGAAATGATCTTTATGATTGACACTGATACAAAGAACTGAGAGTCTGCTTATGAGTTAGCTGTCCCATGGATGGGTTCATTTCCTGTGGCAAGAGGTAGGATTAGAAATTTAGGTTGGGAAAGGGGATGTTTACAAAGTTGGATATTCCACCAAGAATCAGCAAGATGTTTTCAAGAGCCCTTTCTCAATGCATCCCATTGTCATTGTGATGGTTCTCATTTGTTAAATAACTATTCATAAGAATAAACTTGCCATTCATCCACTGTTTACAAGAGTTACAACATGATGCCATCTGATTAACGAAATAAGAGAGCAGGAGAGCAAGAGAACAAGAGAGAAAGAGAGAGAGAGAGAGAGAAAGACTCATTATCCACCCTGATCACCCATATTCTGTCTGCCTTTCCTTCCTTGCCTCTGCTGCCAGGGGCAAACAAAATCACTTAAGTCAAGTGCACAGTTTTAAATGTATAATATGAAAATTTGTTTTTGAGAAACTCCTTGGAACCCTCAGCCATTGTTAAAATACACTCACTTTGACAGATGCTTTGGCACTTTTTTTTTTATGAGGCTTTTCAATGCGTTACCTTAACGGGTGCACGAGATTTAGTTTGCTCGGCAGATGAAAACAGACAAAAAGGGTCTCTCGGCACGAGTTACTCTTCTGTAAAGGTTATAGTAAACATGTCAATGCCTAATTAAGCAGAAAATTTTATCTGTATTGTGGGGGAGGCGGGTGCTGTCTCTGACTTTTCTCCTGGGGAATCCCATTTAGAAGGACAAAAGTAGATTGTGAGGTAGAGCTGGTCTGGAAAGCTGAGTGTCTAAATGTCAACTGAAAAACAAAAATCATATAAAGAGCACTTCTTTTCTCCTTGGAAAATGGCTACATTGGCTAGGTGGATTGCTTGCACATGTACATGCATGCATTTGTGCAGGCTCGTCTGTTCCTGAGCACACACCACGCAAAACGTGAATCGCGCTCCACCTCCTACTCACTATCAAGCAGGGTGTTGGGCAGGAAAAATACCAACATGAAAAAAAAAAAAATCCAGCAATGCCTGTAACTTATTGCCATGATGGAAAAAGCTCTTTTCATTACCTCTAGATTTCTCCACTTGGGGTGTGTGTGTGTGTGTGTGTGTGTGTGTGTGTGTGTGTGCCAGAACTCACACTTTTCTTGGGGTGTGTGTGTGTGTGTGTGTGCCAGAACTCACACTTTTCTCAGTTTGCTGTGACCACACTAACCTTAGTGTGGTGATAATATGTCTTCACACCCAGAGTAACCCTATTTGATTGATAATTGCCTAACGCTGTCCTCAAAAGTGACCCTATTTGGTGAAGCGTGATAGCACATACTTGTAATTCCAGCACTCAGGAGGTGAAGACAGGAGGATCTCAAGTTCAAGGCCAACTTGACCACAATGACAACATCAGAAAAGTAACCCTATTTGATTGATGGAATCTGTCTGATTTTTAAAATATCTTCCTTGGCCCGGTGACAAGCCATTTCATTCGTTTTAAAGCATAGAACTTTGTCCTTGAACTCAATGATCTAACCAGATCGGTGAGCCCAGAAATTAGCCCAGGTAAGAGGAAAGGCCAGGAGGATGGCAAGGATGGTCTAACCTGCTGTCTTTTTATTTTAACGAGTTTTCTTACACATAGCTGCCCCTCGTGAATGGTTACCTGACTCATCTGAGTCTTTGTTTCTCCACACCAATTTAAAGACCGGCAATAACAATTTAATGAACAATCCATTTGTCAACTCGCTGGGAAAACACAAACAACTCTCCAATAACTAGAGAAAAACCAACAGAAGCCTAGAACCTATGGATGCACTGATTTTTTTTTTTTCATTTCACCTGGCTTTATGATTTCATGCCTCTGGGCTCTTGTCCCCGGCATTCTACAACTTTTCTTCCTGAGGTCATGATTATCTGTTTAGGCACATTTGGATCAAATTCCACTGCTTACCCTTTAACCCGTGGACCTTGGCAAAGTTTCTGTGCTCTTTAAGTTAGTAACAGGAACTGAGTCCTGGGGTAGGAAATTTGGATTTTCTCATCCAACAGACTTAAGTTCATGTCATGATGCTGCAGTCCGCCTATGAGAGCCTGTATTAATTTTTCAACTTTACAGCTCCAGTTTTTGCCATATAGGAAGTGAAAATAATAGTAACAATAATCAGTAATAACCTACTTTGTGGGGCTATCAGAAGACATGAATGAATGCATTTTCAGGTGTTAGTGTGGGTTCCAGGAGATGGCAAATTTCCCCAATTAATATTTCTCATCACCATCTGCTCTGGTGTTTCTGACCATAGCTGCCTTATTCCTAACAACCCCCTTTGCCCTCAAAGTCCTTCCACCCAGACCTGTAGTCCAGGAGGATGGAATTAACCGCGCTTGCTCTTACATGTTGTCCAAATAGCTGCCAGCTACCAAGAGGGACAGAGAAGCTCTAAGGAGAAATGCTGTATTAAGATCATGCAAGCCTTGCAAATCTTGAGCTGAATCTCTTTTTCTTAGATACATCATTGGTTGCATTGTATCCACTTGGTTCTGAAAGGCCAGGTGAAGAAAATGAACCCCTGGACACAAATAGCCACTTTGCCCACCCCCACCCCAGCCCCCATTGATGGATATTTGCCCATTAATTCCCTTTGCAGCTGGCTCTCTCATGTCTTCATTTTCCCTATGCAATTACTGGTCCTAAATCCTTGCAGCGAAGGGAAAGCAGGCATCCCAATAGCATTTTGCATCCACAAATCAAACATATAATTGGCATCTCAGGACGGGTACCCACAAATCACAGTGCATTTGAAATTACACGAACAAGATCGACAGTCATTTTCAGGCTTGTCTGGAAAGGTCTTCATAAACCTGTTTGAGAATAATAGAACAGTCCCCAAATCTCCCATTGTAACACCATTTGCCATTACTTTAAAAAAGCATTATATTCGCTGAGCTGACGTAATTTTTCAGCTATCAATGGAAGATTTTATTTGCATACTCCACCATCTCTCCTTCTGCTGTATGTCTCTCTGTGAATAAAAATGTTATAAGGAAAAGACATTGCCTAGCAAAAACATATTGGCTGGGTATCCAGAAGTCCGAGTGCTCAAACTCTGACTAATTTAGATGAGCCTATGTCAATATAGCCGAATATTTTGGTCAACTTTGTCATTGAATCGCCAATGATCAAATTTCAGGGTTGTTTTTTTTTGGTAAGCCAACTTCCTTCCCTGAAAGGACTTGAATGGGATTTGCATTTCAATCCAGGGTTCCACAGTCATGTGCATGGATTTTGCCAGTCCCAATATAGTGATCTTAGAACAACAGTCCTTAAACATAAAATTGTTAACTGGAGGTGCTAGGCATTTGTAGAAAATGGTGAATCTTGCAGATTTAAGAAGAAAAAGGCAGAAGCCGGCACAGAAGACATCATTTGAGTTTGCCCTCCCCATGCTGCCCTGCCCCCCCTCCCCACCCGTTCCCTCCCCTCCCCCCCCCATCTCTCTTGCTTGCAGTTCATGCACGTCCAGATCAACTAACTGACTGTGTAGTTCAGCCCAGAATGCGCTTGGTCTGGGTGGGGAAATGGGATGGGGATCTTGTAACTGGTTACGTTTATGTCATCCTCTTCTCCTTCTCTCTCAGGCTATGTCCAGGAGGAGCAGCTGAAGGAAGAGGAGGACATCAAAGAGGAAGAAGAGGAGGAGGAGGACAGTGGTTCCGTGGCTCAGCTTCAGGAGAGCAATGACACAGGGACCGATGAGGAGCTAGAAACAGGCCCAGAGCAGAAAGGCTACTTCAGCTGCCAGAACTCTCCAGAAAGTCACTTGTCCAACCAGGACGCGGAGAACGAGTCTTTGCTGAGTGATGCCAGCGACCAAGTGTCAGATATCAAGAGCATCCGTGGCCGAGATGCCACTCACAAGAAAGCAAGCGCACACCCCAAGCCTCCGAGCGAAGGCCACAACTGTATGGACAAAATGACCGCCGTCTACGCCAACATCTTGTCTGATTCCTACTGGTCAGGCCTGGGCCTCGGCTTCAAGGTGTCCAACAGTGAGCGGCGGAATTGTGAGACTCGGAATGGCAACGGCAAGAGCGATTTTGATTGGCACCAAGACGCCCTGTCCAAAAGCCTCCAGCAGAACTTGCCTTCCCGCTCCGTGTCCAAGCCCAGCCTGTTCAGCTCGGTGCAGCTGTACCGACAGAGCAGCAAGGTGTGCGGCACGGTGTTCACTGGAGCCAGCCGCTTCCGCTGTCGGCAGTGCAGCGCGGCCTACGACACCCTGGTCGAGCTGACTGTGCACATGAACGAAACGGGCCACTACCAAGATGACAACCGCAAAAAGGACAAGCTGAGACCCACAAGCTACTCAAAACCCCGGAAAAGGGCCTTCCAGGATATGGACAAAGAGGATGCTCAAAAAGTGCTGAAATGTATGTTTTGTGGGGACTCCTTCGATTCCTTACAAGACTTGAGCGTCCACATGATCAAAACAAAACATTACCAAAAAGTGCCTTTGAAGGAGCCAGTACCAACCATTTCCTCCAAAATGGTCGCCCCGGCGAAGAAACGCGTCTTTGATGTCAATCGGCCTTGCTCTCCAGATTCAACCACGGGATCGTTCGCAGACTCCTTTTCTTCCCAGAAGAGTGTCAACCTGCCACTGTCCTCCAACAACCGGTACGGTTACCAGAACGGGGCCAGCTACACCTGGCAGTTCGAGGCCTGCAAGTCCCAGATCTTAAAGTGCATGGAGTGCGGGAGCTCCCATGACACGCTGCAGCAGCTCACCACACACATGATGGTCACCGGCCACTTCCTCAAAGTCACAAGCTCGGCCTCCAAGAAAGGCAAGCAGCTGGTGCTAGACCCCCTGGCGGTGGAGAAGATGCAGTCGTTGTCCGAGACTCCAAGCAGTGAGTCTCTGGCTCCCAAGCCATCGAGTAACTCGGTGATGGACTGCACAGCCTCTACGACTGAGTTCAAGAAGGAAAGCAAAAAGGAGAAACCGGAGGAGAGCCCCAAGGAGGAGAAAGTTGTGAAAAGCGAGGTCTACGAAGATCCACTACAGAAACCCTTAGACCCCACCATAAAATACCAGTACCTAAGAGAAGAGGATTTGGAGGATGGCTCAAAGGGCGGAGGGGACATTTTGAAGTCACTGGAAAACACAGTAACCACAGCCATCAACAAAGCGCAAAACGGAGCTCCCAGCTGGAGCGCCTACCCAAGCATCCACGCTGCCTACCAGCTGTCGGAGGGCACCAAGCCTCCTCTGTCCATGGGACCCCAGCTACTGCAGATTCGGCCTAACCTGGCCCACAAGTTAAGGCCAATCGCACCCAAGTGGAAAGTCATGCCACTGGTGTCCCTGCCCACCAACCTGGCCCCGTACACCCAAGTGAAGAAGGAGGTGGAGGAGAAGGAGGAAGTCAGGAAGGAGGGTGGGAAGGAGAGTCCCGGAGAGGAGGCCTCCTCTTTCAGCCACACCGAGGGTGACTCCTTCACCAAAAGCGAACCCCCTTCAGAAGCCAGGAAGGCAGAGCCGTGTCCCCCAAAGGAGGAGGACAAGCCGATGAAGGAGAGCGGGGAGAAAGAGAAAGGCCAGCCCTTGGAGCCGGTGTCCTCCGTGTCTTCCCTCAGCAATGGATGTGTTCTCGCCACTCACACGCCGGCGGCCCTGCCCTGTATCAACCCGCTCAGCGCCCTGCAGTCCGTCTTGAACAACCACCTGGGCAAAGCCACAGAGCCCTTGCGCTCTCCTTCCTGCTCCAGCCCAAGCTCAAGCACAATGTCCATGTTTCACAAGTCAAATCTCGGCGTCATGGACAAGCCGGTCTTGAGTCCTGCCCCGACCAGACCCGCCAGTGTGTCCCGGCGCTACGTGTTTGAGAATAACGATCAACCCATCGACCTGACCAAGTCAAAAAGCAAGAAAGCCGAGTCCTCGCAAGCACAGTCCTGCACCTCCCCGCCTCAGAAGCACGCTCTGTGCGACATCGCTGACATGGTCAAGGTGCTTCCCAAAGCCACCACCCCCAAGCCCGCCGCCTCCTCCAGGGTCCCGCCCGTGAAGCTGGAGATGGATGTCAGGCGCTTTGAAGACGTCTCCAGCGACGTCTCCACGCTGCACAAGAGAAAAGGCCGGCAGTCTAACTGGAATCCTCAGCACTTGCTGATCTTGCAAGCTCAGTTCGCCTCCAGCCTCTTCCAGACATCCGAAGGTAAATACCTGCTCTCCGACCTGGGCCCTCAGGAGCGGATGCAGATCTCCAAGTTTACAGGGCTTTCCATGACCACCATCAGCCACTGGTTGGCCAACGTCAAGTACCAGCTTAGGAAAACAGGAGGGACGAAGTTTCTGAAAAACATGGATAAAGGACACCCCATCTTTTACTGCAGTGACTGTGCCTCCCAGTTCAGAACCCCTTCCACGTACATTAGCCACTTAGAGTCTCACCTGGGTTTCCAAATGAAGGACATGACCCGGATGGCCGCGGACCAGCAAAGCAAGGTAGAGCAAGAGATTTCCCGGGTGTCGTCGGCTCAGAGGTCTCCGGAAACAATAGCTGGCGAAGAGGACACAGACTCTAAATTCAAGTGTAAGTTGTGCTGTCGGACATTTGTGAGCAAACACGCTGTCAAACTCCACCTAAGCAAAACGCACAGCAAGTCACCCGAGCACCATTCACAGTTTGTAACAGACGTGGATGAAGAATAGCTCTGCAGGTATGGGTTTGCTCCCAGGCCATGGTGACCGTGGCCTTGTGAGGACTTGTGAAAGGGAGATGGGTCCCGCCTGCTTAGAAGCAGCCTGTGTCACGCAAGGCCAAGCAAGACGGTAGTTTGCTGTAGTTGTAGTCAACTTATTTTTATGAAAGACAGAAAAGAACATGTTTAAGGAAGTCCTACCCATTCTCCCTCTCCTGTCCTTCAGTTTAAAGTGGGTAAGGTGGGGTGGAATAAAACACAATTAGAGAGATGAAGTTCACGCGTGACTGAGGCCTCGAGGTCTCCATGATACATGATATCCCCTTAGCTACCCAAGGCCCAATCTTCAGGGCCCAGCCCAGGCAACCCCTCATTTAAATGACTAATAGCAATTTCTCCTCCCACCTCATTCACCTCCCGCCTTCCACCTTCCCGCAGCAATGCTAATGACTTCCAGGGTGGGAAAGGTGAGCAGGTGGAAGGAGACAAGACTGCTAGGGGCCCCTTCACGATACAGAGATTTCTTAATCAGTTCTGAATAGCTCACCGTTGTCTTTATTATTGTTACTTATAATTAATGCTTTCTGCAGCTTATCCTTAGCAATTGCTACCTTCCACCTCCTTCTCTGTGTTTATTTCCTACATTGACTTTACAACGACAGAGCAGGTTCCCTGAAGGAGATGGCAGGAAATATTCCCTGAAGAACACTGAGATGGGGGGGGGGGGAGAGGAGAGAGAGAGAGAGAAAGAGAGAGAGAGAGAGAGAGAGAGAGAGAGAGAGAGAGAGAGAGAACTTATTTTCTCCTCTCACCTTTTGGGTTTCAAGAGGAGAGATCAGTTTCAGGGTCCATCTTGCAAAGAGAAATATGACGCATCCTTGAGATTTTATTGGACCTCAAGAGACAAATGGCTCTACATGGGGTCCCACCACTTACAAGATCATGTGCGTGTTGTGCTTCATAGAAGACCATACCTTGTAGAGCCAATGTTGCCCAAACTTCCTGCATCACTCCGGGAGAGATGAGAAAGGAAGTCAAATGCCTGGGCAGATGTATGACACCAGTTGTTTTTAAATGTAAGACCTAAGTAAATCTGGATCTCTTCCAAATCCCTTTTTGTCTTTTCCCTACCTCCTTTCCTTTGCCCTCCAGAATGACACCCCCACAGGCTAGGGACCCTAATACGTGCCCTATTCTTGGAGCCATACCCCACCTGGAGAACTCAACTCGAACTCAAGCTTCTGGGCTCACCCAGTCCAGTTGATGCCATCTGCAAAACCCCAGAATCCCTCTTAGTTTACTCACTCGCCCTAGATACCAACACAGAGTAGGAGTTTCCCCTGGAAGCCACTCTCTGTGGTAGGAGGATTTGTTTTTCAACAGGAGACTTTCAGGTTGGGCCACCTAGGTTTGGACAGTAAGTGAGTCTCAGGTAGAGAGAAGTATTTTGTACAGCTTTGGTCTCACCGCACATAGGGAAAGAGGTGTCATGAGTGGGAGCCAGGGCAAAAGTGGAGTGAAAAGTTCAGCTGTCTGGTTGATCAGGCCTTCCTCCCTCCCTCAGTGAGAAGATCCTCAGCTTGTGGTTTATGGGGGCCCCCGCGGGAAGACATCTTTATTGTGTGCATGTTTTCACCATGAGAATTTTCCCAGCATGATGTGTTCTGCTCACCTTTATTGAATGAAAAGCCAGCGTGCACCTGTGGAATTCGCGCGTGAGCTTGGGGTTCTGCAACACCCTATTTATTTGCTATATCACATTTTTTCAATTTTATGTAACTTGCTATTATGCTCTTCTGGTCTTTTTTTTTTAAAAAAAAAAAAAAAGAAAAAGAAAAAAAGGTGGACATACACAAAATACCTAGAGAAGAATGTTTCAAACCCTAGGACGTGGGTGGGGAGGGCAACCCATGGCAAAGAGAACAAATAGGTGATGTTCATTTTGTGCAATAATAAAGACCAATTTTCCACCTGTTAGGTTTGTTAATCATTTTTTAACTGCGATATGTAAATAGGGAGAAGGGAGAAGAAGGAAGCTTGCATCCTTCCTCGGCGCTCTATCTGCTCTAGGCAAGGGAAGGTAAACCAATAATTTGGAAAAGCATGCATAGAAGCTGTTAATACGTAGATGAGGTAGTTATTTTCACATCACTCTGCATCTATACATTACAAATATTTCTGATTTTGTTCTTTCCAAGTACCATATTTCAGTGTTATCATTATTTAAAAAAACTACACCCTGATGTGATTATTGTTATGCAGTGATTCTGACAGGAATGCAGAAGAGCAGGTTTGAGTGCCGGAGACACCTTCCAAGCCAAGGTGTGTACATATGTCAAGTGTGTGGAAAAGACTGTGTATGTGCCAGGTGTGTTTGCATTCATAGGAAAGGGATTCCAGTCCACTTGTGTGGTGCCCCCTCTACGCAAAAGTGGCCTCCTGAACTTTTGTTCACCTGGGGAAGAATGCATCCATCCTTGGGGTCCCCTACTAGAACAATATTTATGCAAGGTTTATGCAGATTAGAATTATGCATATTAAGTTTTTAAATGGTTACGAAATGATACCACTGTTATCCGGAACTCTAATCATACTCGGTATGCATGATAGCACAAATTGTACCAAATGACAAGAGGTTTGAAGAAGTATGTCAAGAGATAATGAAAATTTGGGAGCTCTGCCATATCTATGTTTTTCAAGAGACGTAAATTTTGACCTGAATCTTCTTCTCTTTTTTGGACATCCCTAAATCCTGCAAAATGTGTATGCCAACTATTGAATTCAGATTTTCATTTAAAAAATGCATTAGAAAATATTAAGCATGCTTCCCTCTTTTACGACATCAGTAATCCAAAACAATTTCAACACATATTTGTATATACCTTTAAGAGCCACAGCTCTTGAATAATAGAAATTAAACAGAGTAAATCATTGAGTCTAAAATGCACAAGGACTTGAAATTACAGTCATTACCATGTAATGCAGTGTACAAGTTTAACAGCTCACCTAACCTCGAAATTATTGGCAGAAATGGATTCGAGTCCCAAGAGCTGCCTTTGCTATACAAAATTTGATGAAAATAAATGACCAGAAAGACACACATGCAAGGTTGTGAGAGCAGTGTATCAGTAGCTACTCAGGAGGCTGAGATCTGAGGATCATGGTTCAAAGCCAGTCTAGGCAGAAAAGTCCTGTGAGAGTCTTATCTCCAATAAACTACTCAAAAACTGAAGTGGTGCTGTGGCTCAAAGCAGTAAAGCACTAGCCTTGAGCAAAAGAGCTCAGGGACAGTGCCCAACCCCTGAGTTCAATCCTTACAACAGACAAAAAAAAAAAAATACAGGGTGGATGTCCAGTTAAATTTGCATTAAGGATAAACAACAAATATATTTTTAGGCATAAGTGTGTCCCAAATACCACCTGGTCCATATTTATATTTATAAAGTATTTGTCTTTTGCAGATTCAATTTGACTGGCCATCATGTATTTTTATTTGTCAAGTCTGATAACCTTAACTCAATAGACTATATAGAAGTTTAGGAGGAGCTAAACAGGAAGAGTTCATTAATATCTGTAAGAAGCATCAGCTATTTCTTCATCCACTAAATAACCCTTCCTCCTTTTCTTCCTTCCTTCCTCTTTTTCCTCCTTCCCTTTGTCCTTTCCCTCTTTCTCTTCCATCCTTCCCTTCTTCTCTTCTTTACTTCCCTCCCTCCTTCCTTCATCAGCCTGCCTTCCTTTTCTTTTTCCCTCTCTCTTTTCCTTCCTTCCTTCTCATACTACATTCCTTTCATTCTGTAACAAATATTAGTTGGGCCTTTCCAGGCACCAAGTTCTATTAGCAACAGAAACATAGTAGTGAACCAGAAATTGTGCCAATTATAATGGCAAATTGCCAGGCCTTGTGGTGAGCAATTTGCCAACGTGATTTCACTTTATTCTTACAAACAGCGCCATACAGTCGAAGCTATCGAGCCGTGTCACAAACATAAACTGGGGATACAGACATTGTGCGTGAATTTCCCACAGCCCCTGGTCTTGGATTCCCTCTCCCTTAGGGACACTTAGTAAGAACGCCTTTGCCCTATGGAAATAAATGTGCCTTGGTAGCCAGTAACAGACACCCAGATGGACAATCCGAGGGTAGATGCTGAATGCAGCCCACAGGAGGGACCTCCGCCCTGTCCTGGTGAAGTCAAGATGGGGAGAGGTGATTTCAGGGAGCCGTCCCACCTGGCCTCATCCACACTCAGTCGTATCTTGCTAAATGCATGGAATTGCACTCCTTGAAGCCTGGCACTAATAGACTTGTCAGAAAAAGTAAGGACTACACGATGTCTGGATAGGTCTTTCACTGTGTTCTACCGCCTCACCCCAAAGGTACACAACTGGCTGGCATCTCAGACTGAACTGATGGATACCCTAGGTAGATGCCCCCTTGAAAATCTCAACCTGCTGCAAAACTCCAATTCACTGACCTCTTCCAGGGAAGATTACATTCAGCATCTGAATCTTAAAGACTGACCACCGGAAACTCAAAGGGCTCTGTGACAACCCAAACCCCCACAGGAAGCACTATGTAGGATTTGCACCCAGAAATGTCCACTGCTCAGCCCCAGTCTGCTCTCGCTTGTGAGAGGCTTCTAGAGGCTGCCCGGGGCCAGTCATACTCCACAGCCCAAAGAAAAGGCTGTAAACGGTGGACAAGTCCAGAGAAGAGTGAGGGCCTCTTGGAGACTAGCTGTAAATCAAACCGTCCTGCACGGCTTACTGGGTAGGGCTGCCTTCCAAGGAAAGCATCCTCACCCCATTGCGTCATTGCAGGAACGTCACAGAGTCTGCACACTAAGATGGCTGTGACATCACTGGCTGATACCACCTTGATGCTCAGAGTCAACGTGGGCTGAGAGTGAGCCGCGTGTGCCTGCCCTAGCTCCTGCTCAGAGGCCTGGGGTGGATTGGAGAGCAAGGCAGGGCCTCCCTGTGACGTTATTCCTTTGTGTGGTCAGGTGATACCATGTTTCTTGCACTGTGTGTGCCCAAAGCCCAGTGTAAAGCTCTCAGGAATACATTTTGGGAAAACAAGGTCAAGATCAAAGCTTCGGCATCTCCTGAAGCCAAACATAGCATCTTTCCTGACATCTGCCTTTTCTCGGAGTGACAGGACGTAATACCCACAGTGGGACTCCTCTCAGAACCCCTCACCCTTCCCCTCTCGCTGGGACCCTGGGACACCCAGCCCTGATGTGTACAATTTGGTACTTTTCATGCAGAGTAACATTATTTTTCATTTACTCCAAAATGCCATCGGTATCATCTTCTCATTTAACCAGATACAATTCTTTTCCCACCCACCCCCCTCCCTAAATTGAAACTCCATGAGCGACAGGGAGTGCAATGTTTTAATTAGCTCATATTTTTTATATGGATTTATGTCTTTAAAATACATTTGTGTAATTCTTCAGCTAAATTAAAAACGTCTCTCTGCGAAAGCGAGGAGGGGGAAAATAAAGAGCTAAATTGTGTCATTAGCTTTAGGTAGATACAGACGGAGAGAGGAATGCAGCGGCAGACACACAAGCTTAACAGCTCTCCTGGGCTGGTTTTGAACTTGCCCTTCATCTGGAAAAGGCTTTCCCTATAAAGGCTTAAAAAAAAAAAAGCTTGGGGAAGACTTTTTTTTTAAGCCCCCAGTAAGTAAACAAGCAGTTACCTTCAGTGAGCTAATTTGAAACCAAACCTGCCGCCATTCAAAAACAGAAAAATAGAAGCTATAATGATAAACAATTCTCCCCTGCATTTCTCTTTGTCTTTTTTTTTTAACTCTCAAGTTTAAAGCTTTCCACGATGCGGTGTTTTTTTTTTTTTTTCCCCATACTTTATAGGAGACAAGTGACATTCGGTGGTAAATGGAAGAAAAAGCCATGCAGAACTGAAATCTCTCTAATGCAATGACACTAAGTTGCCCTCTATTGTTGAAAATGAGCAGGAGCCTCGTGATTGTTCATCAAACGGCTCCTAATGCAGTTAAGGCATTCAGCTATAATTTCTCCTTGCATTTATAATTACTGTCATAGACTGCACACCTCGGTGAGCAGATTAAAGCTATAAACTATTTAGCTGTGGCTCTACGACGAGGAACTTGATTTGTCTGGCAGGAGTTATTTGTTAGGGAGCTTGACACTTCACATAAAAATGACTCAACTTGATGAAGAACAATGCAGTTTTAGCAATGCGGAGATTTTAAATCAGTCAGGACGCCACGCCCTGCAAAAATCGCAGGGCAGTTTGTTAAATGATATGTAGGCCACGGCCATCCGGGGCTGTGTTAAAGGGACCAAAATAGAAGAGGATTGGATGTGCAGGGGCTTTCTCTCCTGACTCTCCCCTGGAAGATCAAGAGTCTGTTGGAAATCAGTACTTGTGGTGTTCATCTGTTAAATCCTGTGTAAAGGCTACAGGCTGCTCCCATGTGGGGCAGGGAAGGGGAAGGGACACCAATTGCCCGAGACAGGTTTCACAGTTTGGGGTGTCAGAGAATTCTGCTTGTCAGTGGAGAACACCTACACCCCAGAGGCCAGGGTTATGTGGAAAGTGATTGCTTAGAGATGGGGTGGTTCCTGCAATGTTCGTGTGTTTCTTTGTACTTGTTTAGCTGCAAGAGGGACATGAAATTATTATGTATGGACTCATCACTCAAGCTGATTCCACAACTTAGCTGTGAAAGTTGTTTGGTTTTTTATTTTACTTTTTTTTTTTACCAGTCCCAGGGCTTGAACTCGGGGCCTGAACACTGTCCCTGAAC